AGTTTGAAGTCACATCAGTACTAATCTCAGAAATGTGTACCTGGAAAGGGACCACAAGGAAAATGAAGAAAAGGATCAGTAGGAGCAGTAGCAACAACACAGCAACAACAACAACAGTAACGGAAACAGAACAGCCCAGTAACAGTGTTTAATAAAACCAGCAGAATTCCAGCAACACCCCAATGAAACAATAACAAATAACAAACCAAACTCAAGGAACAAACCAAATGAAAGCCCAGAAACACCAACAACAATCAACGGGCAGAAACAAAGTGAACCAGGAATTCAATAGGACAATCGATCTCTGACTCTCTGTCTTTCAGACTCTTAAGGAAAGAAACTCAGAACTTCAATTCAACAAAAAAAACCAACAGTAATTTTGATTTTCAGTAATCAAAGCCAGACCTCACTCTTTCAATTTTTAGTTCTTAAATTAATCACCTTTTTTAGATTGAAAGACCAGTTAATATTTAACCCTTAAATTCTGACCTTAACTTGTGTCAACCTCTCCTTCTTTATAGCCAAACTTGAAGCATTTAAATTAATCCCACCATTTTCTCCTCATCCCCCTTTTGAATCTCACTACTTAATGTTTTGTCCCCCACTATATTAAACAAATATATTAGTTCTCACTACCACATATCTTTTCCTTATTTAATTCCCTTATTCCCCACTATCGCATGTTTTGTCCCCCACTATATTAAACAATGTATTAATGCCCACTACCATATGTCTTGCCCCCCACTATGTATTAAAAATGTATTAATTTAATATTATTAGTACNTTAGGGTGTTGGTCGTCGATGCAGACGAAGGAGAAAGCAGCCATGGTCGTTTGGGACGAGGGGTGAAGGGGACGATGGGGAGGGCAGCCATGGACATGGTGGACGTGAGGAGGCTGTTGGTGGTCAGCTGGAGGACGATGAAGAAGGGGGGTGGTTCGCTGGTTGAAGATGAAGGGAGAGNATAAAATCCCGAAAATGCCCCTGAAACTACTGAAATTACCATTCTACCCCCATCCCTTTCAATCTATACCGAAACCATATCAGCTATAACCAATTCACCTAATCAACGATCCAATTAACAAACAAACTCTGAATAACAAACTCGCCCAAACAAACTCCTAATCGACAATGTTCATGAATTATCAACAGAGTCAGATTCATATCCGAACTTAACGGGACAAACAAGTAGATTTAAATCACTAAACTCAACATCAGTTGAACTCAAACTAAATCAAACAACATCATAACAAAGATGAATGATTCAAACTAAATCAAAAACTAAAGACCAACACATAAACACTCGACATTAAATCACTTGATGAAAAACTAACGAACTTCAAACAAAAATGAACACGAATTATCTCTAACACAAACAAAGACCTGGGTTCGAATTCAAACCAACCCATCGGAACACAAACACAATCATAGAAAGAAGAAAAGGAGCGGAATATGAATTCACTGAACGAAAACTAAAAGAAAAGAGAACAGAAACCTACTAGTTTGAAGTCCGGGTTCGAACGGAACCTCGACGTACTGCCTCAACATATGACTGAGCATGACCTCGAATGCATGACCTCGACGTACTTCCTGGAGATGGAGTTGGGGTGAGCAGCTGTGGCTTGGAGATGGAGGGGTCATTTTAGGACGATGGGGGCGGGCAGCCATGGGAGGTGAAGGTGGATGGGTTGTTTGGGGAAGGAGAAGAAGAGGGGGAGCGGGTGTTTTTTTAGTGTTTTGGGGTAATGAAGAATGAAAAATGGGAAGGGGGGGTAACTCAGTTGGTTATGGGGTGGATCGGGTCGGATTGACCCGGTAGGGGTTTATTTGGTTTGGGCCTGGTTGATTTAAATTAAAAATTGACTTTATTGGGAGAGTAAGAGAACTACAGAATGTTACTCTTTATTGTCTATTCATTCCATCTCCTATGAGGTGTTTCAATTCCATACAGTTTTTGCTGCTTTTTAACTTAAAAAAAATAAGATGCTGAACTAATCCATAAATCATGAATAACTTTCAGTTGGCACATGCTTTTTAACATGCTCCGTGAAAGTTTGTAAATGATGGTTTAAACTATATATAATTGCATATTTTTTTGTTGTAATTATGGAAGGCGATTCGTAGGAAAACATATTGGAAAGAAGCCGATTGCAAACTGGATTATTTCTTTAAATCAAAATAACAGCATTTGCTTATCAAATATGGAATAAGTTCCACTGAAATTCACAAGAAAAATGAATTCAAAAAGTACCAATTTCGTAGTTCAAAATTGCTATCAATAGCTATCCCATTATTCGTTTACTTTTCTGTTGAGTTCCACATCGGCTGTGGAAGGGTGATTTGACTCCTTATATAGTCTTGGTCATAACGGTTCGACATGTTTACATGGAGTTTCTTCTTATGGTAGCATTACACGACATTAAGACTTTTTTGCTCTAACATTCTAAATACAATTCATTTGATTATCCTAAAGGGACCTACATTGGAAAATAACGAAGTGGTTGGCTTTGATGAGGAAGCGGAAAAAGTGATCAAGCGTCTTGTTGAAGGATCAGGGTATCTGGATGTTGTCCCTGTTGTGGGAATGCCTGGACTTGGTAAAACCACACTGGCAAGAAAAATCTATAATGATCCTAAGATTCCATATGAATTTTTCAGTTGCATTTGGGTTTTCGTCGGACAGTCATATATAAAAAGGGACATCTTTATTAATATTTTGAAAGGGTTCACGAAACGCAATGAAGAATTCCAAGATAAAAATGAGACAGAAATAGCTGAGGAAATACGTTATCACGTGGCTAACGGAGGTAAATGTCTCGTCATCTTGGACGATGTGTGGGAGACAGGTGTTGTAGATTTTGTTAGGACAGCTTTCCCAGAAAACAAGAAAGGCCACCGAATCATGATGACCACTCGACACGTACATGTGGCTAGATCGGTAACTATCTGAAGTTTCTAGATCAGAAGGAAAGTTTCCAGCTGTTGGAAAAGAGAGCTTTTGGCGATAGCCATTGTCCTATTGAGTTAGTAGAACATGGAGAAGGCATTGTAGAAAAATGTAGTGGAGTACCACTTACAATTGTGGTAATTGCAGGAGCTTTAAGAGGCCGTACAAGCGAAATTGATTGGCGAGTAGCTAAGGAAAATGTGGGGAAACACCTAATAGAACAAGACAACCTTAAGAGATGCTTGAAGATTGTGGGACTGAGTTACAATCATTTGCCTCAAGATAGAAAGGCTTGCTTCATGTATTTTGGTGCCTTTCCTCGAGGCTTTGATATCCCTTGGAAATTGATCCGCCTCTGGATTGCTGAGGGGCTCATAATGTCTAACTTGCCAGGTAGCGAAATTGAGGAGATAGCAGATTATTATTTGATTGACTTTGCAAATAGAAATTTAATGATGGTGATTGCGAAGAGGTCTAGTGGTCAAATAAAAGCATGTCGTGTTCATGACATGTTACATGAGTTCTGCATTATGCAGGCTACTAGACTTAGTCTTTTCCAATAAGTATGACTCACACCTGGTCAAGATAGTCCTTCTATACAAAACTCAAATACTTCTCGTCGATTGTCTATTCAATCATCTGTTCCGACAAATTTTATCTCCAAAACTACAACTGAAAACCATGTTAGATCTTTCTTATGTTTTTCCTCAAAGTATAAACAAATTGACCTCTCAAATATAGATGTCCAACTCATCCCCAAAGCATTTCCACTTATCAGGGTCTTGGACATTGAATGCCTCAAATTTGTATTCCCAGGGAATTTTACCAGCTATTCCACTCGAGGTATATTGCTATCTCAGGTGATTTCAAGGAACTTTCAAAATTCTTTAGTTACTTCTGGAATTTACAAACTCTCGTGCTTAATACACCAAAGCCCACCCTTGATATAAAAGCTGGCATATGGAACATGTCACGGTTGCGCCATCTACGCACCAACAAACCTGCAAATTTTCCACCACCTACTACCTCTACAAGTTCTTGTCTGCAAACTCTTTCTCTGGTTGCACCAGAAAGCTGCAAGGAAGATGTGCTTGCAAAGGCTAGTAATCTCAAAAAATTGAGCATTAAAGGGAATATGGCAACTTTTCTTGAAACTAGCAAGGGTGAATTCAGCAATTTTCTAGTGCTAGAGCGCCTGGAAAGTTTGACACTACTGAATGATTATTTGAGTAGAGCTCTTCACCTTCCTTCAGCATTATTTGTATATCTACCCAAACTGAAGAAGTTAACTCTATCAAAAACAAGATTTGAGTGGAACGAGGCGAATAGGTTGGGGCATCTGGAATGTCTAGAGGTCCTAAAGTTGAAAGAAAATGCTTTCACTGGGAATTCTTGGAAGATGGAGGCAGGTGGTTTTAGGAAACTCCAAGTCTTGTGGATTGAAAGGGCAGAACTCGTATCATGGGAAGCATCAAATTGTTCCTTCCCGAGGCTTAGGAACCTTGTTTTTGTCTCCTGTCTTAATCTTGCAAAGGTGCCACCGGAGCTGGCTGATTTAGAGTACCTTCAAGAGATGGTGCTGGACAACACAAGCAAAGCAGGTGATTCTGCAAAAGAAATAGAACGCAAGAGAAAAGAGAAGCAAACTCCAGAAAGCATCAAATTCAAGCTCACTATTTCTTACTGAAGCTGATTCAAAGGCCACAAAGTGAAGGTGAAAGGTTAGTCAAATTCATCTCGTGCTGGTATCATTATCTGTAGAGATTTTTCAATAAGATTGCATCTATCTCCATGCATAATGTCTTTCATTTAGTAGAATCCTGTTTTTTGTGTGTGACTATTTCTGTATTTCATTAGCTCAAGGTAATGATCCGTGGAATGATGAAAATATATGATGAACTAGTAATTTTCACTTGCATTCTGGATTGCACTTTGATCAAACATTAAATTGGGCAACAGGGCTCTGTTATAGTATAGAATTTAAGTGCCTTTATGTCAACATCGAGCATTCAGTTCTTTTTGTGTTTGTTATTGAAACATGTAAATGGTTCGACCAGATTGAGAATAGCAATATCAAATGCTGTTATTCCATCTTATAGAGACTCCTTTGGTACTCTATTTTATGGGCTACTGTGAATGATTTAGTGATTTCTTTCAAGACCACAAAGAGACTCCTTTAAGCGAAGAAACCAATCTTCTACACGTCTCCTCCTTACTTATTCTCCTCTTTGCAGGAAAGAATCAAGGCATGACGCGTTCCATATTTTGTTGCAGTCAGCTGATCTGAATACTTTTCAATGAAGAAACTTGTTTGCCTATGAAGAAACTTGTTTGTCTATTGTTTATTACAAGCATTGTTAAGTTGCAGATATTCCCTGCGTGGTTCTGGAGATTTTAAATAAATGCGCTCCACTGTCAGCTTGGAACTGTACCCTTCTCTGGGTTTCTTACATTTCGAGTTCCGGATCATGTGGAGTGTTCTCTTTCTTGTGAACTATTCCAACTTTCATGTTTTATTGTGGTTGTATTGCTTCACTTCATTCAGTATTAATTTGTTTTACTGCTAAAGCTTGGATACCAATGTATTGCTGAAAGACATGTTATTTGTTGGAGTTTTTAGCTAAAATTGTCTCTCATCTTTGAGGGTGGTCTGACTTTGTCTAAATATGTCACTGAGCATCTTTAATCCTTTAAGTTTGCTAAAGTGGAGCAGCTTTGGTCCTTCTAACAAATTCTGGCCAAAACTAAACAAAACAAAAGCTAGTAATTAAAAAAGGTAAACCCATTCCCGAGCCCCAGATACTGCAATCGCCATTGAAAAGCTTTGATTAGGAAAAAAGGCAAGAAGAAAGGCATAAGGTGAAGCTTTGATTTTCTTTGTTTATCTACTTCAGAGTTGGATTTGATTTTATAGTGCATAAAAACTTGTCTCCCCTGTGAATCATTACTTACGTTAGGCTTTATAAAAATTTCTAACATCCATCCATCTGTAAAATTTTCTTTCAATTTCTTTTACTTGTTTGATAAAATTTCCCGTTAAATTTACGAAACAGTTGTATCAACTATCGAAAAAAGTAGAATTCCTTTTTGGTCTCTAGTCAGCTAAAAATTGAAAGGGAAATTAATTGCAAGTAATATCATGAGGCCTTTCATTTTTTTTTATAAGTTAGGCACAGATTTGTAGATTTCAATGGTTTATGCAGATAAGGAGTGGCACCTACTGTCACTTTATATATTCAGAGTGAGATGAGCGTTTTTTCAAACTCTAGTTTGTCATGTTGAAAATCTAGTTTAAAATTTGTGTAAGTTGTTGAGTTCTTCTAGCTTAAGTCTTTTATTTGTTCGCCATTTCTTTTGCTTAGTCCACATGTTTACACTTAATAAGGTCTTGCAAATTCTAACATCGGAAAGATTATGATGTTTTTACTTAGCTTGCATACGTCAAGTTTCAAACGTGAAGGTTGAAATGGAGAAACTACGGGACAGACAAAAGGAGGAGGATCAAGTTGATAGCCGCCGTTAGTTTTTAGCCAGGTTCTGTTAGAAGGACTAAAGCCACTCTACCTTATCAAACTTAAAGGATTAAAGATGCTAAAAAGTATAGTTAAAGGACAAAGTCATACCTACCCACAAAGATATAGGACAATTTTGACTAAAAACTCGAAACAAATGAATCCCCTAAAACCCCCCTAAACTATCATGTTATTGTCAGTTACATACTTAAACTATCTGGTGTCCCCAAAACCCCCTTAATTATGTGCCCTTATATATTAAAAAAACCCTCGTCGATTTTTAATGAAATATGTTAGGTAACTCGCCAAAAGGCGCGTGAGAGATGAAATTATACATAAAAATGGCCCCAATTGTTCATTTCTAATGGTTAATTACTGTTATCCTCTTTAAAAAATTTAATTTTTATATTTTCCCTCTATTTTCTTTGTATTCTAGCCTTTTCTTCATTTTTTTGATCTTTCTTCTTCCTTTATTCTTATGGGTTTTATATGAATTTTTTTTCATTCTCTTGTTTCTTCTAAAATTATCTTTCTTCTTTATTTAGGTACACTTCTTACAACCAAACCCTAATTTTTTAATCCCAAATCTCGTATTAAACTATAATTCCCGGTGAAAACGAAGGTTATTGGGGAAAATCCAATATTTAATCGAAGTTTAATTAATGAAAAAATTCACGATTGAGACATGGTGTATCCATTATCGGAGGAGATAGAAGAGAATTCTTTTTTTTTTTTAACAAATGATCATGTATTTATCGCTTCATCCTCTTCCTTTGATTTTTTAACCCCCAAACATTTACCCATTTAATTATTTTATATTATTAGTTAAAATTCTTGATTAAATAGATATATCAGATTAGGCTGAGTATTAGAAGGGTGTATCACACTCACCACTAAAAATTCGACGAGGGTTTTTTAATGTATAGGTGTATATAGTTAAGGGGGGTTTGGGGGACACCAGATAGTTTAAGTAGATAACTGACAAAAACGTGATAGTTTAGGAGGGTTTTAAGGTATTCACTCTTGATTAAATCTTGCAATCATACTAGTATTTGCAAATGAAAATATCACTTAACGAAGGAAAGAGCAGTAATGTAATACCACAATTATTTCAAGGCAAAAACTCATCTCCTGTACATATAGAGCACTAATGCAATATCACAATATTGAAAATTCTGATACAAACGGTAGAATAGAATGTGAGAAAAAGACTTGTCAGAGTTTCAAATTAAGATCAGGCAATGATGGATCTGTCCTAGTTGGAGGAGCTACTGTTACAAAATTTATGTTGGAACCTTGCCCTGAATTAAACCTCTGATTGCCACCAATTCCCTCTACTTGCCTGAAGCTACCGGGCCAAAACATTTCCACTTCATCGTCTTCCACAAATACTGGCATCCCGAAATAGCCTTGTTCAAATCTCGCCCCAGCTCTACTTGGGTGTGTAGGCGTGTCTTGGTACGAGACTCGTTGGTGCATATAAGCATGAGCTTCCACGCCAAGAGATCGAAATGCAGCCCCGTGTAGGGGCAACGATGCCAAGCTAGCATACCTGTCCGATAACATTCCCATCCGCATTGCCCTCTTCGCCAAAGTCCTCTCCCTCTTATGTGCATTCTGATGTCCTCCTAAAGCCTGCGAACTGTAAAACTTGCGCCTACAGAAATTGCATGAGAAAACCCTGGATAATACTGCTGTTGGAGGATGGGGTACTACTTCATCACTCGTCTCACCATTGGCGTTCAACTCGGGATCACTGCTGTTGAAGCCAAGAGTCAAGTCAAGAGTAACAGGCATTGAATCCTGCTGAAGATTAAAAGAGTTTGTCAGGCAGGAATTGGTAGTGCTGTCCTTGGAGGGACCAGGACAAGTTTCTTGGACATATATATTTGAACCTAATTGGCAGCTGCTGACCTCGGACTCGTCTTCTGATTCCAAATTGAAATTTGGAGGCTTCATGTTGCTTGGATAAAAGTCGGTCGCGAATTTAAACTATGGTAAACAACAGCGACTATCCAATCAATGGATAGTTGCCGTTCCTTGAATCACCTGCATTGTACAATGAAGTACTATATGATGTTTCAAACGGAGAAATAATCTTGCATGCTATGAGCTTTTCTTTTCAAGATCAATTGACCAATGATTCAAATCAATTTATGAAGTAATACATTAGTCATTTCACCGGCCATTGGAAATCAACTCTCACGCTGAGCATGAAGCTACTGTTGAGGTGCGTGACCATCTCATTTAAAAGCTTAAAGCTGTTAGAGAGAGCACACTTTTATTTACTTAATTATGTCTTCAACAACTACTCGAGGAACATACACACACAATGATCAATTAAGAGCACAGAAGCCAAAAGTAGTAACATCCAATGGAAGCAGGGTTAGCCCTTCTTCCAGACTGACGATAAACTACAATCCAGCAAGAGAAACAACATTTAAATGTACAAGGGAATGGAACACAAAGTTAACAGAAAGATGGATCATTATACTAGATGCTTTTAAGTGTTGGGTGTGCGAGGTAGCTGAAAAGATTGGAAGCCTACATATAAGGTGTAGAGATCTCTTAATTAATGGTATGAGGCCTTTTGGGAAAAACTGTGCGGGCTTGACCAAAAGCTGACAAGTATCTTTAGGCTGGTTGAGCCCAACATTAAGTAGTGCCTCAACTCCGCAAGATATTTGAGCTTGACACTCAAGAAGAGCAAAGATCTCATAGAACATGCACTAGAGCCACTCACAAAATACATAAGATGTCAGACGTACAGATCAGATCACATCGATCTCATAGAACATGCACTAGAAGTTTAGAGCCGCTCATAAAATACATAAGATGTCAGACGTACAGATCACATTGCTCTCATAGAACATGCACTAGAGCCGCGCACAAAATACATAAGATGTCACACGTACAGATCACATCGATCTATTTGACTCCTAAATGTAATTTTAACCATGATTAAACAGAAGCCTAGATTTTTACAAGGTGGAATATACACTCTATTTAGATTTTCTTTAACCTTCATACCACCACTCCTCTATTCCAAGTGAGTACCTAGAGAGAGGAGAATACAACACTGAGGGTTGTAAACCAAGATAATTGCCAGATAATAGCTAAGTACTTAACTATTTGTTCCTTAAATTGCTGTTATCACTCCTCGAGCAACTATTATGTCATCAATTACGCAATACTTGAGGGCTTAATAAACAAGTATGTATTTAATAGTAGTATACACCAGAGGTGAATATACCCCCAGATATACATATATAATAGCATGTACAGCATTTCTTTGCCAGATATTGTTCATACCAAAATTGGATACATTATTAGACTAAGCTCCCAATATTCAAATTTTACCTCGTGTAACATACCTGCAAGACCTTCAGTATGAATGACACAACAGGAGTTGAATAACTAGGGAAATAATCAGATTTTTTAGGCTATACCATTCATTATTTAACGCACAAACATCTGATAATTCACATCTTTCTTTTAATGGTTATCATCATGTTGATTAATATCTTTAAGCGCAAAACTCCTTCTTAGCTTGTTTGGACTTTATCTTTCCAACTTTCTACTCAGTTCGTATTCAGTATCATTTTCTTCCATAATCATTGGAAATGACAATAAACGTTTTGTCAAACCAACAGTACTTTGCATAGATTTAAATGCTCCCTAAGATTTCCCAATTCAACTTCGAACTCTGTTGAAGGTTCTGATTTGCTTTCTCCTCTGAAGGTTATTAAGAGTAATCCATTGATCCAAAACATAACTGAGAAGGAATTATAACATAAGAATTCTCCATTCTAAAATCAGTACCAGCGCATCAAATAGAAGTACATCATTTGTTCACATATGGTAAAAGATCTACCTGCTTTCAGACTCAAAACCGAGTTTATATTGAACCTCAGACTAGTTGATATCATAGTATGACTCAAGCTCGGTTAAATCGTGTATGAAAAAAGTTACCTAGTTCAACATGATAGTGCAATGGTTATTTAATTCATATTTGAAAGATGTACAATACCTATGATGTTTCACTTTGATTGCACTTTGCGAAATGATCAGAAGAACTCCAGAGCTTCTTGAACGCCAGAGAAATTCAATCTTTTGTAAGAACCTAAGGAAGAAAAAGGCAATATCAGAAAATTTCTGCAAAAGAATGGCAACTCCATGTTCAACAGTGCTATTCTTGGGTCTTTTCTGTTAGGACAGAAAAAAGTTAGGTGTCATATGGAAGCTAGTAAAGCAACACTTGAACGATGATAAATCAGATAACAAAAGAGAAATCTACCAAAAGAGACACAAATATTTAACGTGGTTCGGTCAATTGATCTACATCCACGGTGGAGATGAGCAATCCACTATATAAAAGAAAGTACAAAATATCAAGAGAACAACTTTACGAAGAGGCAAACACAAATGACACACTAACACTTGTCCCGTAAAGTTCTCCCCCTAAACACGACTCTCAAACCCCATATGGCTACATTGTGGATGTCACTGAATGAGAAGGAAGGATCCTCAATTTATAGTAGTCCAAACATTTTCCTACAAGAAAAAGGACTAGCCAAATATGGAATAATTATATTTTCCTTCTACAAAAAGGAAAACTCAATTATAGTAAATATATTGACCTTTCCTTCAAGAAATAGGAAAACCAAATATAGTAAGAAAATCTGGACAAACACCTAACATTTTCCTCCTTTCGTTTCTAGTTTGAATATTTTAACACTTCATTTCATTTCAAGAAACTCTTGAAAAGTTGGAAAACATAGAAGAAGCAAAAGGACGCAATTATGCTAGATGTTTCTTCTTATGCTCTATTTTCATTTTTTTGGAGGGCCTACTGGAAACAGCCTCTCTATATTCATTCTCTCTATATTCACTGTAGGGGTAAGGTCTATGTATTACCTACCCTCCCCAGACCCCACTTGTGGGATTATACTGGGTTTGTTGTTGCTGTTGTTGTTTCTTCTTATGCTCAACATAAATCCTAAGAACCAAACATCAGCTGACAGACGCCATTTCCGATTAAACTATGGGATAATCAACAACATAGTAAAGAATCTAAAACCTACTATGGTTTGAACTAGAAAACTTCATAAAAGAGTTTAGCATCTCTCAGACAGTTTCACTTAGAAAATATGATAAGCTAGTTCAATTCAATTCCTTAATCCAGCTTCATTTTTACATATCCAATTTAATATGCTAATATAAAGAAAAAGAGTCCTGCGCCGAGACTCCATTGGAAACAGGCTCAGTACTTTTTCAGGGTTTGCATATACACTATATTCCCCAGAATCCGCCTCTGGGACCCAAGTGGGTTTGTTGTTGTTGTTGTAATGTAAAGCAAAATAGTCCACCAAGACCTAAACTACACCAAAAGAGCAAATTTGAAGCTACTCATAGTAGATCAAGAAAAGAAACCAGAAGCTCCAATTTTTACAAAGAGAAATTAATAACTAAAAAATCATACTCATAATAATAATAGTTATAGTAGTTGAAGCATTTCATAATCATAACCATAATAACAATAATTATAACAGCAACAATACTAACCAACAAAGCTCATGATTTTATCATCAACAAAAGGGCAACAATTTAGATGGAAATAAAGCTAGCAAGTAGCAGCTAAAGCATAAAGGCGGAGAAAAGAACAAAGAAAAGTAGAGTAGAGTACCCTTTAGTTATTTCAAGAAACTTGGAGGCTCAGAGCTTTAAAAATGACATGACAGAATTGTTCTGCTTTGTGGGTATTCTAATTTTTACTAAAAATGGTGAGGTAGAAAGAGAGATAATAAGTACTGTAAATATGAAAGAAATAGAGATAAGATCATTGGAGAGAGAGAGAGGTGCAACGTCAGATAAAAAAAGAAAGCAGACGGCAGCACACTACTTTAAAACTATAATTTTTTGGTTGTTGTTTGGTCTCTTTAGTACAATTCGACCACTGCAGATTGGAAAAGGCATTAAACAGTGACAAAGGGAAAGACACAGGAAAAAACAAACTAGTACTATTACTGTTAGAAGAGAACTCTGTGTGTGTGTAAGTCCCACCAATGACATAGAAATTGGATCCTCAAGTTAAAATGCATTTCCAAGATTCTGTTCAGATTTTTTTGTAATAATAAGTTTTATGACAAGCCTTTTCAGCCGTGTAGTTGTTGTTGTTCGCATGGAAACCCATAACTTGCCCATTCCTACCTCCATTGTCTTTTTATCTATTTTTCATATCAGTGGACCGCGGCGAATTCAGAAATTTTCGTAAAGGTGTTCAAACAGTAAACTACTGTTGGATTTTTTTAGCTTATTTTAGCTTAAAAGAGGGTGAATGAAAAATGAAAAGAAAAATAAAAATTTAATTTTTCCTTCTTGACAAAGGGACATTGTCCCATATCGGAGAAGGAAAAAACTTTTTGATGGGTATATATAATTGCCCTTCTTCTAGCTCTTAATGAGTTAAAAAGAAGGCAAGTCTCGCGCCGCAGCTCGACTTCGACTTCGATCAAATGATTGATTGATTAACTTTTTGGACCAAATTTATTTATTAATATTAAAGATTAACGTAATATTATTTAATCCAAATTAGCCGTTTTTGTAACGAAAAATTAATTTTCCTCCGTGTTTTGAATTCCCGTTTTATTTTGCGTAAATAGCCATTTACGTTATGGCCGTTTTACGTGAACAGTCATGACAAACCTTCTGAAGAGTTGCACCTCTTCGCTTAAACTCAACATATTGGCTATAAATAGCAGACCATTCCCTCAGATTTTCTTTACGAAATTCTCAATTCTCCTCCTTTTTTCTGCAGTGTTTTAACCGAAAGAAAGCAACAGTAAGTGTGATTTACTATCGATCATTGTGTTCGCTGAAATACTGGGGTTTGAAGTACCGCTACTCCAGTGTGTAATCCGTTCTATCCGTGGAGAAAATAATCCACAACCTCGGGTACTAGGAGGGGATTAAGTTCCTTAAGGAAACACTGTGAATTCAGTGGGCTCGGATTAATTTCTACTTCTTCTACATTTCTGTATTTTACAAATACAGTATACTAACACAAACTTGAAAGAAGTGAAAAAAATTCTTCGACAAAGGATGTTTAGTGTATGTTACGCACCTCTAAAACCTACTCCCTTCGTTTCAATTTAGATAGTGTAGCTTGATTTGGCACAAAGTTTAAGAGAGAAAAAAAGATTTTTTGTTGCAGAATATCATGGGCTAACTAGCACACAATCTCACACAAAGCAAATAGAGAAGAAAAATCAACACAAGGATTTAATGAAGTTTGGCTAAGCCTAATCCTCGGGGCAAAAGAAGAGAGAGTTTTTCACTATGAATGAGAAGAAAAGCACAATATAATGTATAGAATCCCCAACTACAACCCCTATATATAGATCCCAAAAGGTCCCAAACATATATGAGAAAGGTTTCCCAATTTGACAAGGACTATAGATTTTTCTTTCCCAAATCTATTAGGACAATGGGTTTTCCTAAACCTATAGGGACTATAGGTTTCCTAAAAATACAAGGAAATAATTCAAGCCACAAATAACAAATCTTCCCCTTGGCTTGAATTCTCTTCATCAACAGAAACAACGTCTCTCTACCTTGCCCTCAGCCCTTGCAAGGGCTCTATCCATTTTCGCACGCATCAACCAAGTCTAGGAAACACCTAAACTTGTTAAGAGACTCAATCTCTTTACTCATAGCACTAATCCGTCGATTTGGTTCTATACTCGGAATAGCTTCTAGATAGCTGTAACACTCAAACGCATCAACGGTCTCTGCAACTGCCAAAGCAAATCCCACTGGATTCGTATATCCAAGAAGATTCTCATCTACGTTTGCAAATCTTTGCGATCGGTAGATCACTCTCTTCTCTCTGCCTGTTGCAATGCTATATGGTTGTTGTTGCGTAGGTGCATCAACATTATCGTCTTGATCAATATTTTGCACCTCCTCAACTTCCTCTACTTTAGAACTATTGGGCTGAGCTAGTGGAGATTCAATTTCTAGCTCTATGCGGTTACTGACACCACGATCTGTTTCTGCTATTGCCTTCTCCCTCTGATTGTCCAGTGAGGCAGATTCATTGAATATTACATCCCTACTGATAATTAGCCCTGGAGTCTTTTGATCTGTGCATCACAACCTATAACCTTTCACTCCAGTTGCATACCCTAGAAATATGCACTTCTTTGCCCTCGGCTCAAGTTTTCTATCCCTCACATGAGCATAAGTAGGATAACCAAATATCCTTAAATTTGAATAATCAGCAGGCGAACCTGACCATACCTCAAAAGGAGTTTTGAACTCAATAGGTGTGGATGGAGATCTATTGACCAAATAACAAGTTGTATTGATTGCTTCAGCCCAAAAATCTTTGCTAACACATGAGTATTAAAGCATGTTTCATTCCCTATCACAAAGCGTTCTATTCATACGTTTTGCAACACTATTTTGTTGTGGTATTCCGACACAAGTGCGGTGTCTCACTATGCCCTCCCTGCTGCAGAAATTATCGAACTCAGAATTGCAAAATTCCAACCCATTGTCAGTTCGAAAACGCTTAACTTTTCTTTCTTTCTGCCTCTCAACCATCGTCTTCCATTTAACAAATGTCAAAAATGCCTCATCTTTTGTTTTCAGAAAATACACCCACACCATCCTTGAGTAATCATCAATCAAAGTCATAAAATACCTGGCACCACTCTTGGAGGGAACTCTGTTTGGACATCACAAGTCAGAGTGTATATAATCTAACTTGTCTCTGGTCTTGTGCTCGGCCTTCTTGATGAATTTTACCCTTGTCTGTTTACCAAACACACAATACTCACAAAAATTCAAAACTTGATTTTTGTATCCATTCAGCAAATTCTGCTTACTCAACAAAGACAATCCATTATCACTCATATGGCCAAGTCGCAAGTGCCACAACTGAGACTGATTCAGATCACTTTTTCCAGAAGCTACAACAGCTTCCCCTTCAACTACACTTGCCTGAAGATGATACAATTTAAAATGTAGTTTATCCTTCATGAGTACCATGGAGCCTTTACATACTTTAAGTATTCCATTCTCGGAGTGAAATTTATACCCTTGATCATCCAAAATCGAAAGAGAAATCAAATTTCTCTTTATCCGAGAAACATGCCAACACTCAATGTTTCTGATAATTCCGTCGAAGATTCTCAATTTGATGTTACCAACCCCCTCTACTAGTAATGGATTATCATCTCCCATATAGACA